TAATAGATACCACAAGTCATTATTTTCATAAAAAATTTAAAAAAATGGCTTATATCTTGGAATACTTATGAAAATATTACTTTTAACCAAAAGAAACTACATAAAACTTTTAAAAGGGATCGTTTAGATTCTCATTGACTTACAAGGAAAATCACCACTGTTGGGTACTAATACAAATAGAAGTTATTCTTTTTTTCTTCAAACTAAAAGTTCAATATTTATACACTTAAAAAAACTTCTGGATGTAGGAGTGATGGAGAGCCATGCAGAACTACAGGGATGGAAATGGAAAGGAGCCTGAGGAAAATAAAGTGCAGCAGCAGGCCCAAAGTGGGATCCAGCTCTAGGGAAGGTCCCAAGGCCTGACACTATTATTGAGGCTATGGAGAGCTCACAAAAAGGGACCTATCATGACTGCCCTCTAGAAGAGCCAACAAGCAGCTGAAAGAGTCAGATGAAGATATTTGCACCCAACCAATGGACAGAAGCTGCTGTGGTTGAATTAGGGAAAGGCTGAAAGAAGCTGAGGAGGAGGGTGACCCTGTAGGAGGACTAGTAGTCTCAAGTAATCTGGACCCCTGAGATCTCACAAATACTGGACCACCAAAAAGGCAGCATATACCAGCTGATATGAGATCCCCAACATATATACAACGGAGGGCTGCCTAGTCTGTGTTCAATGAGAGATGATGTACCTATAACCTCAAGAGACTGGAGGCTCCAGGGAGTTTAGAGGTCAGGTGGGGTGGGGGTGGGGGGTGGGAACAGCCTCATGGAGACAGAGGGGTGGGTTGGAGATATTCCCATACCCAGTGGAACAGTCGGAGGGTGGATGGGGAGGGGAATAAAATCTGGAGTGTGAATAAATAAATAAGTAAATTTAAAAAACTTCTATTATTAGGAGAAAGCCTTCTATCTCCTGTTAGAGGGCAACAATGACAGTAATAATAACAACAATAATGGTGATGACAATAAGTGGTGAAAATATCAAAGGAGCTTCATCATCTAACCTCAGGTGAAATGTCTGCTTTAAAATAGGCATCAGCCTGCATTAAGCATTATCTGTTAGGATATTCTGGTAAGGCTAAAATAAATACGCTTTAGAAATTCTGGTAGAATAATTAATTACTTTCCTGGAATAACTTATTTCCTGGGAGAGGGATGTTTGATAAACTTCAGTGATTACATAATAACAGGAAAATGTGGAAACTTACATTTCATCTCACAGAGATCATCTGCCTCTGCCATCGGAATGCTGGGACCAGAGGCGTGAGCCAACCCCCCACCCCCACCCCACCCCACCCCGGCTTATTGGCTGGCTCTGGCTCCACAGTCCAGACTATTCTGAACTCATAGTCCTCTGACCTTATCTCACATGCTGTACAGGTACATAGATCATATCTGCAAAGTTCCCAGGAATGAGAAGGCCGTTCCTCCGCCGAGCACAGCGAGTTTGTACTCTCTAGTATTCTGTCTTTGAATTCTGGTTAGGTAAAGTAGGGAGCTCAAAGGCTAGATGAGTCCAGAGGCACATCAGATCTAAAAACTTCAATACAAATGTAATTGGCTATCTAAACAGAACTAATTAAGTCTAAACTGTCTTTTTTTTTCTTCTTAAAGACAGGGTCTCACTACGTAGCTTTGGCTGATCTGGAACTCACTGTGTAGACCAGGTTAGTCTTAAACTCAGTAGGTCTCTACCACCTGAGCGCTGGAGGCTACATCTACTACTGTAGACCCTATTTACCAAAAAAAAAAAAAAAGTAGAAGAAAAGATTATTTTTTGTTTGTTTGTCTTCTGAAGATTATCATGGTAGGTTTGTGGTTTGTTTGTTTGACTGGTTTTGGAGCCAGGGTCTTCTATAGCCTTGGCCTGACTTGAACTTGATATGCAGCTGAGAAAGACCCAAACTTCTAATCTTGTTTCCTTCTCCTAAGTGCTGGAACAGTACAATTCAGCACACATTATACTCAGTTTTTTAAAAAAATGTGTGCTGGGGAATGAACCATGCGTGGAAGCAGCCTACTAAGTCCCATGCCAACCCCCATTAAAAACAATGGCTGGCATGTGCTTACATTATATAATGTATTAATGGAAAGAATGAACCCCCCCTTTTCTTTTGCCCTTTACCCCTGGTTAGAGATGGAGGCTATTAAGGTAGGTGCTGAAGGGTAGAGATAGATCATTTTATTTCTACTTGTTTATTATGTTATCACTAAAACAGCTGTCCCAAGACATTTTTTCCAAATACAATTTGGGACTATAGCATATTACCATATATTCAGACACAGTGGGTCTGTTTTTTCGCTGGTGGCTGTCAGAATTCTTATGTACATGGTCTTCACTCTTTCAAAACGTAAATGGTACACATTCTTTGATAGAAAACCTTTTGTTAGTGACTGCCAAATGCTAAGAACTCTCTTGGTATCAGCTGGTCAAGGATGTCTTACAAAAGACAAATGAGGCTGACTAAGACAGTCACTCTTTCAGCAGGTGACCCTACTGTGGATGGAGTGTGCCATCTGCCTTTGAACAATGGAGGTAAGTGGTTCTCAACCTGTGGGCTGTGACCCCTTTGGGGTCAACCAACACTTTCAAAAGGGTGACACATCAAATATCCTGCATATCAGGTATTTACATTATGATTCATAACAGTAACAAAATTACAGTTATGAAGAAGCAGTGAAAATAATTTTATGGTTAGGGGTCACCACACTATGAAGAGCTATATTAAAGGGTTGTAGGATTAGGAAGGTTGAGAGGTACTGATGTTGATGGTCTTCCTATCATATTTGATATCATGCTTTCCAGTCCTTGCTACTGCCTTCCAGTTGAGAGACAAAAGCACAGCCATCCAAGGAGGCTTCCTTAAGGACTTCAAGACCGGATACAGAGCTGAGATGCTCTGGGGAGGATCCCTCCGTACACATGAGTCCCACTGTGCCATTCTTAACCCTTCTCCCCATGGCAGGGAGCATGCTGATGGGCCTGGCCTGTGTCGCCTGTCTAGAAACTGATGTTCAGAGAATAGTTGGAAAGAGAAAGATACTTGGCCTGTTCACACGCAATACATATTGTGCTCTGATACTCAGAGAAAATGCAAATTAGTAACACACACAAAATGTCTGCATTTAATGAAAACAAAAATATCCAGTTTGATAATAGGGTAAGAGAAATGAGTGTAATACAGTGTTAAGTCTGGTCATTATTATTTTGAAATAATTTACTTTTAGTATACTTCAGAAAACAAAAAAGAGAGAGTCTTATGTTTCTTAGGCTGATCTCGAACTCACAAATGGGCTAAATATAATCTTGAGCTTCTCAGCCTTCTGCTGTCACCTCTGTAGTGCTGGGACTGCATGTGTGTGACACCATGACTAGTTCTATAAGGTCTTAGGGATTGAACCCAGGGCTTTGAGCATGTTAAGCAACTACTCTACCAACTCAATCACATCCCCAGCCCTGTTAGCATATATTGAGTAAAAGCTTTATGCTAAAAGACATGAAAGATGCTTCAGTTTTGAAAATTAAATAGCTCAACTTTAATGATAAACATATTTACTGTTTAGAGCAAATACTACATATTTAAATTTTAAATAATAGTTTTAAGGCCATGCTAATAGGCAGTGTGGGCAGTATTGAGAATAGTGGTTCTATACCAATAAATTTCACATGACACGAATTATTATTTCATTTCACAAAATATAACAAATTCCTGCAGTGTGCATGTGGATACATACACATTGGTAGGACAGAGAAAATTACATTTATTCAGGGGTATTAGGATTTTAATTTAGGGAAACAAATTTAAATTGTCTTTAAAATGTGCTTTTACATGTTAAGAATTTTTTTTCCATTTTTGGTTTTTTGAGCTTGGGTTTCTCTGTGTGGCCCTGGCTAACCTGGGACTCACTCTGTAGACCAGTCTGACCTTGAACTCAAAGATCCACCTGCCTCTGCCTCCCAAGTGCTGGATTAAAGCCACGACACAGTATGCCCAGATCAAGAATATCTCTATTGCTGTTTTTTTTAATAATTTATTTTTAATTTTATACGCATTGGTATTTTGCTTGCATGTGTGTGAAGTTGTTGGATCCCTTGGAACTAGAGTCACAGACCATGTGGGTGCTGAGAGTTAAACCCAGGTCCTCTGGAAGAACAGTCATTGCTCTTAACCACAGAGCCATCTCTCCAGCCCCAAGAATTTGTTTTTTAAAAAATTTAAATGTAAATTTTAAATTATTTATTTTATGAGTATTTTGCATATATATGTACACACACACACACACACACACACACACACACACACACCCGTACCATAGATGTGCCTTGTGCACACAGAACTGAGAAGAAGGTACTGGGTTCCCCTGAAATTGGAGCTTCAGTTGGTTGTGAGCCACCATATGGGTGCTGGGAATTGACTAGGTGCTCTGCAAGAACAAGCGCTGTTAACCTCGGAGCCATCTCTTTAGCCCACCACATTGAGTGTCTTAATGAGTAACAGTTTCTAAATGTAAACCTAAAACACCATCATCGTTTTTCGCAGAAAAGATTTGTTACATTCAATATCTTTATGTGTCACAAAGAAAATATTAATGACTAAGTGCTTTTTTTGGAATTTGATAATCATCTTTGAACATAAATTTGCAGATTTTTTTTTTTTTACAGCTTTGACTTTGATTAAAAAAAAAAAACTTAGTAAGGACAATTCTGCTTAACAAGTCAGCTTTAAAATTCAGTTTCCAAGGCAACCTATGTCCTTGCACACTGCCTAAAAAAAAAATCTATAGATGTAGTTACGGCAACACTAAGGCCAAATGTTGACTATAACCACCTTGCTTTCATCTCGTTTGAGCTTCTGAAACAAGCTGGCCTCTCCCTTTCTGGAACTTAAACATACCCTACTACTCTACCTTCCCACCCAGTGAGAAGGCAAGGGGCAGATGACAAGCCAGTCTTCAGCGTGGCTGTTGACATAATGGGGAGAGGGGGCTCTTACCTGCACACTTCACTCCCTGAGCAATAAGACCCCACATGAAGTTGGCACAGTATTCACACCAGTGTGGCCCTCGGAAAGTATGCACCTGAAGAAGAATGGAAAAAGTGGAGAAAGGAGAGAGAGACATGTGTGAGTGAGGAGGTTGTCATGTATCAGTTAAAGCAGCACTACACAAGCCTCACTGAACTCAAGATGCAGCACGCTACATTTAGAAAGACTGACTGAGTACAACTGACAAGTGACAGTTTTTTCAGACTTCATTTCTTCTTTTAGAAGCAATGACACATCAAATCAATAGACTGCAATTTCCTTCTGGAAACAATGTCTACTTGGAATTTTGCAATGAGTCTCTTCAGGCACAAGCAGTCTCTTCTGCATGTTGGGCAAACACTGGCATGTCTGAGTGTGATGGCTTGAAGGGGAAGAAGCAGGGTTCACAATGTCTTGAACCTAAGAATTTCGTCAGATGATCCAGCTTCTGTGGTAACAGTAGGTCACAAATCTTAAAGTGACATTGGGTGCAAATGAATCATAAAAAAGAGCCAATTTCTTCAAAACATTTGACATTTACTATGTTAACAAACAATTGCACTTCACACCTACTAAAGCTACAGTTAATGAGAAACTGAAGGCTGGCATTTCAGGCCTGTGACATTTCATTGTCTCTCACAGTCTTTTATGCATAGGAAAAGTAAAAGATTCTAGTCTAATGCTGGTGAAAAATATTACCAGAACAGAGCAGCTACGAATCTGAACCCTACACATTAAATAACAGAATTAGAAAAAATTCTTGCCTGGTGTAGTGGCACGTGCTTTTAATCCCAGCACTAAAGAGATAGAAGCAGGCGGGTCTCTATGATGTTCAGGTCAGCCAGGGCTACATAGTGAACCAATGTCTTAAAAAAATTATATATACATGCGTGCGTGCGTTCACGTGTGCGCACACACACACACACACACACACACACCCATATACTTAAAAATAAAAATATATATTTGAAGGTCATTTATATAAATATATTTAAATACATATAAAATATATAATATATATTTAAAACTTTTGGGCAAATCATGATTGAAAATGTACTAGAGAGAGGATACAGGAAGTCAGTTAATTTACTGCCAATTAGACTTAATTAAGGTAATTTTCTCCTGCAGGAAACAGAAAATATGCAAAAATCACCAAGAGTGATGATTTCAATGTGTGAATTTACCAAAACAATTCTGTAAAGAGTAAAATATAGTTAAAATGTTATTTTTTCATAACTGTGATATTAATCTATTGAATGGGTCTCAGAAATAAACTAATGATTCTAGGATATGAATATGTATTTGTGTATATTTTACACAGATGTATTATTCCTTCAAGGCCAAAATGTCACAAGTGTAACATATTTCATTCAGAAAAACTATGCTGAGTGAATCACGAAAGCGCCACTGATTATAAAACTCAAGTTCAAAGACGTTGAAATATCAAATAAAATATTCCTAATATATTCAGTGAAATATAGTATATCAGAATTCAAAGTGCTAGATAGAACTGGTAAAAAAAAAAAATACCCCTATGAGGCTGCAGTGGATAACCCACAGCTCATTCTAAATAGGCATGTGTTTGTGATTATAACAAACCAGCTTGAGGACCAGGTCTCATGTTAATTTTAAACAGGAGGCCATAATTCCTCTTATATCTTTTATGAAAAGGGTCAGGAATGCAACACACACTTGCCTCTGGACTGCTAATGATGTTCAGAGCCCATAAATTGAAAGTATTTCATGGACTTGCTAGAACAAGGCCCAAGACCAACAGATTCCCTTCACGCCCCTTGACTGTGTTCCTCAGAGTGAATAAAATTGGATGAACTTCACTTTCATCTGATGGGAATGTGAAGGAGACCACAGGCATGGGCTCTTGCAAAAATGTATATGATGATGAAATCACTATAACATCCTAAAGGTACTTTGGAGAAAGTCTTTGAGATACAAATTGGCCTACAGGTTGCCAGGTCTCATGAAAAGTACGTATTAGTTACACCATGCAACAAATATTAGATGGTGCTTGGTTTATTACTTAAATATAACAGCACTGACTACCAATGTTAACATAGTCCCTTCCTGCTTCATGAGAGCAGTGGTGAATGTGACACTTTAAAAGACACAGAGCATCTGTTCACATGACACATGCTGAACAGAGTTTTAACTGTTCAGCCCTATGTTCTCTAATCAAAGGTTAGATGTGCATATCAGAAAGCAGCTGATAAGGAATCGGGAGACAGTTACCTTTGAATGAATTAGCTGGATAAGAGGAACCCTTCCTTCCTCTCGCACCTTGGGTCTCATGTAGCACAGGCTGATAATGATTGTTGTCAAGACTGACATTGAACTTCAACCCTTCCACCTCCATTTCTCACATTAAGGGATATAGGCAAGTGCTACCTGATTTAAGAATAGCCTTTAGTGAGGCATGGTAGCACACGCCTTCTGTCCCAGCACTAGGGAGGCAGATCTGTAAGTTTGAGGCCAGCCTGGTCTATAATGTGAGTTCCAGGATAGCCAGAGCCACACAGAGAAACTCTGTCTCAAAAAACAAACAAACAAACAAACAAACAACTATGAGCAGCCTTTAATGTTCTACATCATAGTAGAACAATTACAGCTAACAACAATTAGCTGTATACATTAAAATAGCTAGTAGATAGGATTTTCAATGTTATCAACACAAGGAAACAATAAATATTTGAGTGAGGCTGATGTCATTATATTGGTCTGGTTACTATACTTGTGTTAAAATGTTACATTGTGTCCCTAAAGAATATGCCATCATGTATCAATGAAAGAAACAGTCCTTCATCTGTATAGATCCTAGCACAATGCAAACAGGTAGTATTTGGTGCACACAATTCTACAGACACTGACCTGTGCTAACAATTTTATAGAAATGGTTGTATTTTAAAATGAAGCTAATAAGAAAGTAACACACGTTCAACTATAATGAAAAGTTCAAAAGTGGCCCTGCTTAGGAGGGATAAGAAGGAAATAGAGGGAAATGGAGGTAAGACGGTATGCAGTGGGTCACAAGAAGCTTTGGCAAGAAGCCCAAGACCACAAGAGCTAGGACCTGTAGGTTTTACACATGCTAACATGCTAGGCAAACACTACCCCTGCACTATATACCCATTCCATTTGTCTGTGTGCTTGTTTTTGTTTTGTTTTATTTTGTTTTGTTTTTCCGAGACAGGGTTTCTGTGTTTTCCCAGCTGTCCTGGAACTTACTCTGTAGACCAGGCTGGCCTCAAACTCAGAAATCCTCCTGCCTCTGCCTCCCAAGTGCTGGGATTAAAGGCGTGCGCCACTACTGCCCAGCTGTGTGCTTGTTTTTAAAGACAGGGTCTTTCTGTAGAGCCCAGGCTGGCCTTGAACCTTAGAGTCTCCTGCCTTAACCTTGTCAATTCTGTGATTATTGGTGTGGACCACCATGCCAATCTGACATCAGAAACTTTTGCCTGGAATGTTCTACCCTACATATAGCAGAGAGCATCAGAGATCTACAACTGGTCAGTCCTTAAAGAATAAACACTATTGCAGCCACAATAAATACACAACTGAGAGGCATGCATTGTACAACTGTCATTTCATCTAAAGTACCTGAGGTTTTTGCTTTCCTGCCCTCCTGTTTTCTGTCCTCACCCCTTCTCACTTTCTTAGTTCTTGTCCTGGTTATTTGTTTTTGTTGTTGTTTGTTTTGTCAATTCTATACAAACCTAGACATATCAGGGAAGAGGGCACCTTAACTGAAAATAATGCCTCAACAAGACCGGCTGGTAGGACATTTTCTTGGTTAGTGATGGATGTTGGCGGGCCCAGCTCACTGTGAGCAGTGCCACCCTAGGTAAGCAGTCCTGTGTTACATAGGAAAGGAGGCTAAGCACACTATGGTGAGTAGGCCGGTAGTGTTCCTCCATGGCCTCTGCTTCAGTTCCAGCCTGACTTGCTTTGATGATGAACTGTACGCTGAAATAAATCCTTTGTTCTCCAAATTTCTTTTTTGGTTATGCAGTATTTATCATAGCAATTGAAATCCTAACTAAGACTGTTGTGGACTAGAAAAATCTAACAGCAAGATTTTGTTAGCAGTGAATATAAACTAGGAAAAATGCTCTATCTCCTTGAAGGCCAATAATTTTTTCTTTTTAAAGTTTTATGTGTACGAGTGTTTTGTCTGAATTTATGTCTACATATTAGGTGTGTGCCTGGTGCCTCAAGAGGTGTCAGATACCCTGGAACCAGGAGTTTTGGATAGTTGTGACCCACCAAGTCGGTACTGGGAATCAAACCCAGTTCCCCAGGAAGGGCTCTTAATAGCTAAACCATCTCTCCAGCCTGCCCTGAAGGCCTTCTGAGCATACAAAACTTTTGTTCTTTCTGGGTTTTGGACAGTTAAGTGGAGTGAAGTGATCTTCTGATGAGTAAGAGACTCTAGCAGCACTTTACCCGCTGCTTGCTGTCTGACCTTTAGCGCGCGCGCACGTGCGCGCGCACACACACACACACACACAGGCTTTGTAAGATGGGGAGAGAGAGGGCTAATACTAACAATTCTATCAGTTTACCAGAAACAATGCCTTTCGAGATTCTTTTGGTAAGATAACTCAAAGGAGCAGTGTTTGGCAGCATGGAGTTAGTTAGAAAGGCCACCTGGTAGGAGGACACAGAACTATTTTTCCTAGGTTGCCTCTAAAGCTGTTGGTCCACACTGACCAGTCAAAGTATTATACATGCCCAGGTAGCATGATCAGCAAGCTTTAAAGCCCTTTCCTCTTCTGCACCTGGAAAAACACGACAGTGTTATTACCACAGCAAGTATGATTACTTTTTACCTTTGAACAACTCCTTCCATGGTAGATGCTCTGTTTAAACACTAAGATGCATCTAATTAGTGAGCCCGATAGAGACTTATCATTGAAGGTCCTAGCGAAGCCTGGTTGAAAAGGGCACAGAGGGTGTGAGATGGGAGGTATGTAAAGAGGCAAAGGCCAGTGTCACATGTCTCCCAGGCAAGGAGCTTGGAAGACAGTGAGGTCATCCTCA